TTAACCACGCACATTATTGTCAATGAGTAAAGAGATTTTAATTTCTAGCTTTCCACCTTGATAATAATTTAGATTTTTTACACAATCTCAACAAAACAAAAAAAGCACCAAAAAAAAACAAACTCAAACCTCTAAATTCAAAATTGTTTCCTATGATGCCGACGCACTTGTCTGATGTACATATTTTCCAAAGTCCATATTTGATTTCAACACTATCAGTTTTGAAAACACTATCAGCGTTGAATACTGTCCACTCAACGGTTGCCAGACCTACAACATGTAGTATGGTACCGACGCCAAGCACAGCCACTCCGCACTTACCGAGAATAGCGTCTGGGAGATTCACGCCTTTCATCTTTCGTATCTAAAGAATGGGGTTTTGTAGTGTTTTTAAATTTAAAAAAAAAAAAAACAAAAAAACAAAAAAAAAAAAAAACAAATTATACTTACTACAAACTTTCACTAATACAAATGAATTTCATTCCACGACATGAGGGTTTCCTTAATTTCTGGGCTTATGCTTCAACTTATGTTAGTGATTACCAGACAAAAACATACTTCATCCGTGTGATAACATCCTGGGAGCTGCGATAAAGATATTTCGTTGCTGTGTGCAAACCAGTTCCTTTTTATTTTATTTTTATTCTTTTTCCTTTTTTTTATTTTATTTTTTTTATTTTTTTAAAAATGATTTTAAATATTACTTATCACTTTAAAAATTAGAAATATATTTTCCCCTTATTTAAAATAACCTTTTAAAAATACATGATGCCATATTTTTTTTATAATTTTCTTTAACTTGTAGCTGACTAAAGTCGAGATTGGCCAGAAAAGATGATTGAGGAACTGTTCGTGTGGTGAAAATAGTGCGTGAAGTTACAGTGAACTCCTTCCTATAAAAACCGGATATTGTTGTTTTTTTTTTAAAGAATATTTTATTTTAAATATTAAAATAGACAATTTGTGTTTAAAAAAAATATATATTTTTATATGGAATGTCGGAAACCATGAGATTGCACTGTCGTGATAAAGTTTCAGACTTTTAATGTGGTTCGCGGATGCTTAGGTGCATTGATCTTTGGCTGCGCAACGATTTTTATGAAGAATAACCAAACACCATGTCCCTTTTTTTTTTTTGTGAAGGCGATGAGTCAGTATTTAAACAGCTTTTATTTCAAACCAGGAAGTTATTTATATCGATTTTTTTTTTAATTTAAAAAAAAGATTTCACATTTACGCTACATCATTACACATATAGATCCCGTCTATTGCATTCAAGGCAAATATCACGAACTAATTTCTTATTCAAACGTACTAACCTCAATCGAATAATTGTTTCCATTTGTTCCTGTTGGTATTTTTACGTGAGTGTGTTTAAGTGTGTGTTTGTGGGTGTGTTTGTGTGTATATGTGTGTGTGTGTGTATGTGTG